ATCTCACACCCTTAGTGTAGTCTAGTTATTGATTTTGTTTTGTGAATGGTGTAGATGTCTCAGGAGGGACTAGGCAGTTTCCATCACACATTGTCCAGTTCTAGCATGGGCCCAAAAAAGAAAACAAACAAAAAAACACAAATAAAAACACTTGGGTCACATATTAGAGGGAGGAGGAAAAACAGGCAGCAATTGCATTATCCTGCATCTCAAGTCTAGCACAGTGCAGTAACAGGCTTGGTCCTCGGAGAGCTCGGCTGCGGTTTCCATAGCAACGCAGGCCGAGCAGAGAGACGGAGAGGGAGAGAGAGAGAGAGAAGGAAAGAAGTCGAACAAAATAGGAGAGATGTGGGATGAGATAGAGAAATTGAGAAGAGCGAGAAAGAAAAACGAGAAATAGATTTGGAGTGCGATTGGATCAGTGAAGACGTCGCTCAGAATGCAGAGCATTATCCTTTAATAATGTGATACTTGCAGAACTATGGCCACTGAAGTCGCGTCCTTACGGCCGACTGAAATAGAATTTATTAATGCTTAATGCGAAATAGAACGTATTAATCTTTAATATCGTTTCGCATAGCTTTTCATGCCGATTCGGCGGGTTAGATGCTGGTGGATGAGATTACGCTTCGGCGAGCGTTGGGGACGGGATCGTTTCACTGAAGGTCTGGGGCGGGATTACGTCTCAGTGCGGGTGGATTTCGCTGTCATTCAGTGTGAGAGATGGGATTATGCTTTCTGTGAGTGTGCAAAGAGGGATTCTATTTCAGCAGGTGTTTGGAGTGGGATTACGTTTAAGTGAGAGCTTCAGACTAGACTATATTTTAAGGAAGACATATACATGCGCTGTGTAATGTGATTATGACCAATACTTGAATTAAGACAACAGGCAAATTAAGCAGCTTTGATATTGATAAATTTCTTCAACTGTCCACTTCGCTTGGTGTAACTTACTGGATTTTCTTGCATGACACTCTCATCAGAGAAAGAATGCATGAGGCTCAAAATACATCAACAAGATAAATAAATACTGATTTAGTAAATCAGGATGATTTAAGGATGGTTTAATACCACAAATTGGCCAGTTTATTAGAAAGCTTTTATAGTTCCATCTTGCTTGTGGAAGCTTATCTGTTGATGCACAATCTATGTTACCCATCCTCTTCAGCAAAGGTCACTTTGGTGGTCTGACCACAGAGCTGCTCTTAGCTGGATATTTTTGTGTGGTGGACCACTCTCAACCTAGCAGTGACACTTAAGTGTGAAAAAAACCCAGCAATACCATTTCAGATTTACTGGGAATAGTCCACTACTCAAATGTCTCTTTAACAGCAGGGGTCAAAAACTGACCAATGATGAATAGGGTATAAAGTGGCTGATAAACTGCACAGCAATTGATTGACTACAGTCTGTAATCGCACACTTATATAGTGAACCTGTAAGGCAGGTGTTTGTAATAAAGTGGCCAATGAGTGGACGTACAAGGTTGGTGTTTCTAATAAAGTGGTCAGTGTGTGGAAGAACAAGGTAGGTGTTTCTAAAAAAGTGGCCAGTGAGGGGAAATACAAGGTAGGTGTTTCTAATAAAGTGGTCAGTAAGTAGAAGTACAAGGTGGGTGTTTCTAATAAAGTGGCAAGTGAGTGGATGTACAAGGTGGGTGTTTCTAATAAAGTGGCCAGTTGGTGGAAACACAAGGTAATAAATACAAATGTAAGCATTTCCCATTTTCTCTTTATGCCTTAAACAGGTTGTTAAACAGTCTTTTTTCGTTACTTTGCCTTTAAGACTGATGCATATAAATGACCTCTGTTCTGATTGGCTGCCCTGTGCTGCATTCAAAAAGCCATCTAGTTGAAACACTCCTGGCAACTTCCTGAACCGCTGGGGTTAAACTGCTGTATGTTATATGTAAATGTGTTGTTTTTTGTAACAAAAAACAATGAATTCAAAATGGACTGTTTTGCAGCTTAGTTCACATACAAGGACTGTGTGGAAAAGAATGGAACATTCCAAAACTTTAACTATGTACTTAGTATGTGAAACAGTACTTAGTATGTGATTCCGAACAAGTGAGGAAGCCACTCACAAAGCTTCTACATTTGGCATGAAAGCGCAACTACCAAGTCACAAAATCCAAGACAAAACAAAATGCTAAACACTCTGTCCTTAAAACTCTGCATCAAAAGGGGTTCTTTAGAGTTATGCTATTGAAGATTCACTTCTTCAATATGCTACTGAAGAAGCCTTTGTAAATGGGATTTGTGGAATGTGAAGAACATTTCTAAAGGTAATGTTGGTTCTACATCAATTAACGTTTTTCCCCAGAATCGTACATACAAGCCAGAAAGCATTAAGGAGCCTTTATTTTTAAGAGTGCACCTCAACATAAGCTGAGAACAGAAGTGGAATGGTCTGACTTAAAGAGTCCTGACATTTCTACAGGCAAAGTGCCAGTTTCCCACCAGTGCAGAGACTCAGGTCCTCACTCTCCGTGTGGCTACAGGGGTAATGAAACGGCTAATGTGATTTCCCGCTCTCGAGATGGAGTGGAAAACATGGTTGGTGGGGGCGGATCTAATTTGCAGTGTGACATTGCGAGGCCTTGGCCACGAGCGCACACTAACAAATTGCTGCTTAGATAAGCAAATCAACACGGAGCTCTGTGCCAGCACGCCAGGGCATGGAGGACACTCAGCGGGAGAAAGGAGCCGGCAGATCCACGGCAGCTCAAGCCAGAAGACTTCTAGACTGATGATCCCTCACCTGGCCGTAGGGAAGCTCCAAACGAGGAGCTCCATAAAAGCCGGCCAGATAAAGCCGGATGTGAGGGACCTGCTCGGCTTCATTAAAGATGAGAAGGTGCTGAGGCACAGATAAACTTGAAACCCATGTCTCTGAAATGAGTTCTACACGACGTGACCGCGATTTGGTAGGTGAGTCACAGCACCTTTACAATATAAAGATGGTTTCAGTTTTTCAACATGGAATGAATGAAGCTGCTTAGGATTCTCCCCGTTTCCATGCTCCGCTCATAAATTACTTCTTTCATGCCAATTGTTATGGCAAGCTTTCCAGAACACCAGCAAAAATTCTATTCAACCGATTGAGAAAGTGTAGTGAACAGCTCCATTTTTACCAAAATACATACATTTAAAGAGCATCATACTTATTAAATAACTTATTTTGAAGGTCACTTTGGCATTTATTCATCAAAGTTTTAACTGCCATTAATGACATACAAACTACTCTGCGTCTGAATCAAAACTTTTGTATGCTGTGGAAGTGCCAGCCCACCAGCACCTCATTCACATATCATTCACATGACATGCCCTAATTCATGCATATGTTTTAGTAGGAAGCAAATAAAATGGCAGCATTCAGTAGGTCATGGCTGTGCTCGTAGGTGGAGTTTGAGGTGCACTGCTCCCCTCTCTGACCAAACTTTATATGTATGAGATGCTTCTGCACTAGCCATGTTTTCTTTTTTATTTTTTGGACGATGTCAGTAGTGTAAAACAAAGGCACAATGTAATATGTCTTTAAATGGAAAATAGAACAGTAAAATAAGTACATTGTGTTTTATATTGGGTTGCTGTTTTTACCAATTATTATTGTTATTTTTCATTTTATTTTTATTATTGGTATTATCGATAACACTAGAATAGTTTTGGTTAGTTGATTGCAAATTAAGCATTTTTTTCCAGGTTGTTAAAATTTACAAACTCGTCAGTAGAAGTTTGACCACCAGTGCAGTTACACAACTCTGAAGAATAAAGGCCTTTGCAAGGGTAGTATATAAAATCACTTGAATAATAGGCTAGTGATTGTCCTATACTGCCTTTTAGCTGCAGTAAACATCCACGACTGAATCATTCCTGAACTTCGTATAAACTGTGTGGCTTATAATATCTTCGGGGGATGTGAGGATCTGAAGACTTTCATCACTCTCTGCTATTGTCAGTGAGCAGAATGACTTTACTGATAGAGCTTGAGTAAACACACTGTTATGTTTCTTCTTTTTGCAGTAATGTTGGAATATAATATGACAAGAATGACACTGGTAAAATCCCTTATAATAACCTGCCACAGTTAGGCCTGTTGCAGTCAGTTTTACCTGAAGATTAACTGCCACATAAATAGTTACGATTACCAATTTTACTTTTTTGTTTATAGCATGAAACTTTTAAACTACATGCCTAAAATGACAAAATCTTTATTCCTCACTGTTAATATTTAGCAGCTCCCAAATGACAACAGGAACAGCTCATGCTTAAATAAACAAACATTACCCACCACTGCCTTCTAAATGGTGTAATGGCATCAAGTCAAAAATGTTGTTTTATAAGACCCATAATGTGTCTCAATAAATGTGTTCTCTGCTTTTTATTTACATGTACTTTCCTAAACTCAACTGATGAAGATGCTTCAAATCATACTCTGTTTCTTACAATGTAAACATATTACAAAACTTTGTATCTCCAAAATAGTAATTTTTCAGGAGAAGGGGAAAGTGTAGTTATTTTAATGTCACTTAATGTTATGATATTTTTTTCAAGCAATTTTGGAACATTTCTATTGGTCCATTTATCATGAAATCTTCAAGCAATGTAAAGTGCAGCTGAAGTTTTGAATGAGGTTAAAAAAACTGAGGTAGTTTTTGAGAGGTTTTGTTCCAACTGTAGTGATATGAGTGTGAATACTAATAATTGCAGAAAATGACTGCAGTCAGCTACTAATGATAATGTAACAATTGTGATGGGCCTAGCCTTTGTGGGTAACTGTAGTTTACCACTACCTAGCAAAGTTGAAACAGCTTTTACTGACATTTACTTTTAAAATTATTATAAAAGTATAACATTTTTTGTCCCACAAGGTTCAATTTTAGGGCTTTTGCTTTTCTCTTTGTACATAATCCGATTGGGAAATATGAGATCAATGTTCATATCTACGTTGATGATAAGCACTTACACATTTCCACTCCTAAGGGAACAGCATCATACCTGATCGTCCATCCCTCTGGAAGTCCACATGGTACCACTCCCCATCGTTCACCTTCTTGTTGACTGCCCGCGTCTTCGTGGTGCCTGAACCCATGTCCAAAAGCAGGTACAAATGACCATCCAGCATCTCGATGGCAAAGAAGTCCACCTTGAGCGTGAGGGGGCTCTTGGCCTCCTTGGTCTGCTGTTTGGGCCGCCCGTGGCTGAAAAGAAGAAGTCCGTTCGGTTCTGTGGTGCGGAAGTCGAATGAGATGGAGCCAGTCTTCTTAGCGTTCCATTTATGTAGTGTAATAAAGGCTTCTGGTGTTTCGAAGGTGATGGGGTCCAAAGTGGCCACGTTTTCACACTTGAAGGGCACCACACCGTGGATCTTCATCTTGGGGTCACCCTGTAAGGCCAGCCTGGACAGCTCCAGCCGGACGTCATTGTTCTTGTACACCACCTTAGGAACAAATTGAGAGTGGCAAACGAAAGGGGAGACAGTCAGTACATGCAATGAAAACGTACAACAGTGCAGAATGAAAAGAAATGAAAATCATACCAATCATGCCCTGGAACATCTCATCATAATTGTGCTTGCAGAACTTTGGAATACATTTAGTTTACATGAACTTTGGTGTCAAGTTATTGCAAGCCAACATATTGTTCATAATTATAGCTTTTGAAGGTGAACCACTGTTCACAACTATGCGTACACGGTGCCAGCCTCACTACGTAAAAGCTTACTGAAGAATAAGGCCAAACTGTCACTTTTGGTAAACAAGACAACTTGGTAAATTAGCATACGCAGCTGGACAGTGTGTTATCTAGAGGAGCGCAGGAAGTGATGATGGCCAATGGCACCTTGTCTGCCTGTTCCGAGGGACTCTGACATACCAGGCTGCCTGCACAGCTTAGATAGCCTATGTACAACCCTATGTTTCCCGAACAATGGGATATTTTCAGATCCACACAATTAAAGCTGAGCAGTACCCAGTTATAGAAATAGACATTCATTATATTTTCAGTTGAGAGGAAAACAAATCAATGCGAATATCAAACACAGCTTGACGTATTGATCTCATAATCCTCTCTCGGAAGCCTCTTATGTGACATTGCAACATTATACTTCTTTTTGTGCTTCCATGATGAAAGGAGTTTATGGGTGAGTTTATCAAAACTTCAGTTGATACAGTTGATCTGTGTATTTATCTTGACTGTGCAGTCAAAGAAGGGCTGCAACAATTAGTCAATCAAAGACAATTAAAAAAGGTGACGTGTAACACTAAAACAACAGCAATCTGTAACGCTCTATAACATTCTAATGACACGGTCATTCTGACACATTCTTACAAATTACATAAGACGTAATGGTTTAATTAATCAATTAATTTAACAATACTTGTCAGCTGTAGAATAGGAGCTAGTCTGATTAGTCAACGAAGTTGATTAATCATCGATGATTATGGAAAAAGTCGGCATGCAATTTTCTTAAAAACAAAAGCAAACTATAACACTATGAACTTCACTTGACAAACTGTCATTCTGACAGATTCTGATCAACTACGAAAAAACAAAAGGCTTCATTTAATTGAACAATAGTTTACATACAAATTCAAGGCACAGTTTTGTTCATATGATACATATGGTCATTCTGAAAGATTCGGACAATTCTTAAAAGATAAAATGGTCTGATTAATCGAAAATAAAAATATTCACTAGCTTGACTCCTGTTTACATGCAAATTACTGGCACAGTTGCCTCTTTTCCTCATCTCATGGTTGTCACTGCAGCTCCATAATATCCAGATGATCATTTCAACAAATTTCAACAACGTGTACAAGATATAACTGTGCGATTATTTGAAAAATAGTTGCTAGATACACTGATTATAGAAGCAGTTACATAGTTCAGGCAGTTTGACTCTTGTTTTTTGAACAAATCCATGCCACAGTTGCCTGTCTTTTCCCTGTCCCATGGATATGTCACTGCGGTTCAGCACAGCTCCGGCATGTCAGTGCAGATCCTTTCAAAGGTGCGTAAGAGGGACCCGCTGTCAATCTCCTGTGGCACAGATAGTCTCTGGCATGTCACTGCAGTGCCCTTAAACCTCCACCTGAGCCTCAGAAATCTCAGCAAGCCAGTCAAGAGACACTCAGCAGAGGCAGCGTACCCAACAGGATGCAAACACCTTTAGGAAAGAGCAGCTTCTGAGAGCGCGTTCCCGACCTTCATGAAAAACTGGGTGGGGTGGAGGGGGCATCTTTCACTCTGACAAGCACATTGTGTGTGTGTGTGTGTGTGTGTCTGAGTAGGTATGTATGTGTCGCAAGCCAAGACGTAATAGGAACACACAGCTGAGCGCACCGCAGGTGTAGATGACCCAGATCTCTCCTGAGGGTTTGAATTGAAACGCAAGAAGATGGCTAGAGGATTTTTTGCACCAACCTAGTCTCAGAATTAATATACAAGCAGGCAGCTCAAGCAAGCCTTAGGGGAAAGGAGCCCCAGAGATGCCGAAAGTCTTCTTGGGAAGGTCGTAAACAAAATTTTGCAAGCACGTTTGCATCTACTTTTCTGAAATTACCACAGCCTTTCCTACCCTGATGCCAATTTTTTGGAGCTACAATATTCTGGTAACTGATAATATTGATGATATACTGTATTTTATATAGTTAACAACTGAACAGAGTACAACTGTTTAAACAGTGCTTTACTGACTGTTAGATTGGTAGTTGTCAACGGTCAAATTTCATAAATTCAAACAGCAGAAACTCCATTTTTATGGTGGGCAAGCAAGAGGTGACGTGAGTTCAAATCCCAGGACTGTTGGAGTATACCTGCTTTTGCCCTTGGGCAAAGCACCTAACCCCATTATGACCCAGGTGGCGCTGCTCTGCTGTCAATGCTGCTCCCAGACTGGGCAGAGTTAGGCAACAAAATGACAAATCACAGAAGCCTCTGAGTGTTCCTGGTGGGTTTGCTTATGTTAATTAGCTTGTATTTTTCTTATTTTGCCTAAATACTCTTTAAATAAAGAATTCTTTTGTGTTGTAACATGTTGCCCTCAAGTGAGATTTGGGTGCATATTTGGTAGGGAACTGTGGGCCGATGCTGATACTTTTAGCCAATATTTTTCATGTACACATCTGCTGATACAAATACTGTCATATCAGTAGACATGTACATGTACCAACAAAAGCAGGCATTTTAGCACAGCTGTCCAGCATCCCCTACAGTATTCTGCTCTTCCATAGCTCAATGAATATGTCATCAAATATCAGTTTGAAATATCAGGCAAGTCTAAACATCTGTCCAATGCTGTGTTACTTTGTCAATGATCTGTTTACTTAGTATTTGGTGTAAAGGCATAAGAATAGGGAAACCCTAAACACCAGTGTTTAGTTAAAAAACTTCAAAGTTCGTCTGCTGATGTTCTGATTGGCCTCTAAAAATTACAACTGGACACACTGACAACATTGTCATTGATAGGATGCAAAGAAAAACAGTCAAAATGGTAATGAGACATTTCACTGGGAACAATACAGGCCCCACATCTCCGGTCTGTCATGCTGTCAATCCCACGAACCCAATCTGTGACCGGCAAGTGTGATACAATCCCAATGCTGCTGTTTCACAGCACTCATCAATCCTGAACTTGCAGAAATCCTTGCCAAACCACAGGTGAATATTTCATGCAATAATTTTGGGTATATATGTAGAGACGTCCTCAACTGAATGGAGGTGTTGTCGACTTCTCAACTGCACAGCACATCTCCTCAGACAAAAGCCTCTTTTCTGCAGACAGGATTTGGAAAGTGTGGTCTTCCTGAGCAGTTTGCACATAGCGAGGAAACTGTAGCCTCTTTCAAATCTTCAGAAGACACATTTTTTCAGGAACTGTTTTTACAATAGCCGGTTAAGATTAGCACTTCGACTACAATTCTGTGACAGTAATAACAAGCTGTAGATATGGCAAGGGAAAAAGTATTAGCTTCATGTGCAAGACCTTTCAGAAATAGAGGAGGTTCTAATTAAACCTAATTCCTCATCATACAGTTCTACAGATGCACGCTCCTACTGGAATTGAATATTTAGTGTGTGTTAATACTAAAGGTTTGATAATTAAGGGCTCTGCATGTTTAGTTCATAAGAGACAATCACATGGCTAATACAACTGTAGAATGTACTTGGCCTTTATGGTTATGTCAGCCCTCACAAATTGTTGTTCATAAACCACAGTCTTTTCCCAGCACTTCACTAAATGTACTACAACATTACAATGTGAAGGCACAAGTGAAGTCCCTTTAATCTGCAATGATGCAGACTGACACAACAAAAGTCTCTGCTGAAAACCTCAAAGGTCAACACTGTCCTCTGCTATTCCATCAACAGGAACTAGTTTGAGTAATATCGTGAGCTCAGTGTAGCTGGGTTCAAATACAGGTCTATTAATGCTACGGCTCATACCACCCATCGTCATTATGTAAAACAACAATAATAGCATTAATACAAATAGAATAATTATAATACTAATTAGAATTTAATAACACTGCTAAAGAAAAAAGCAGAGCATCTAAATAAATATGCATAAATAAATAAATAAAATGTCAGTAATGTAAAATAAATGTCAAAGAATAAAATAATAATGTTAAACAGTATATTTAATAATATTATTATTAAATGGAATACTAGTAAGGAACATGATAAATGTATGTCTCATATACCTATTTCTACCACTACCACCACTACTATTACTCTTACCTCTGCTACTATGTCTACTGCTCCTGCTACTACTACCACTGCTGATACTACTTCTACTACTACTACTACTACTACTGCTGATACTACTACTACTACTACTACTATCACTGCTACTACAACTACTACTACTGCTGCCACTATTACTAATGCTACTATTACTACTACCACCACTGCTAATGCTACTTCTACTGCCACTACTACTGATGCTACTGTTACTACTTGTACCCCACTATTACTACTTTTATTAATATTACTACTGCCCCCAACATTACTACTGCTATTACCTCTTTTACAACTTCTACTATTACAAGAACTACTACTGCTGTTATCACTACTAATGCTAATATTATTTCTATTATTACTACCGCTACTATAACTACTACATCTTCTATAACTACTGATACTGCTTTTTCCACTATTTCTTCTGCTACTACTTCTACTACTACTATAACTACTACTTTTCTTTGACTATTACCACTGTTCCTGCTCCTAATACTACTACTACTACTTACTTCTTAACTAACTTTTGCTACTGTTATAACTACTATTACTGCAACTATTGTTATTACTACTTTTTCTACTACTACGATTTCTGCTTTGTCTATTATTGCTACTACCATTTCTACTGATACTACTTCAACTACTTCTACTGATACTACTACTGTGACTACCACTGCTTTTGCTACTGCTATTACTCCT